AGTGGTTAAACTCTAAAGGAAAAGAAAATATTTTTTGGCGCAAGTAAATTAATTCATGGATTAGTTATTTTCAGATGGAAAAAAAAAAAAAAATACGAAAATCCGTTTTTAAAATTATTGCGAAAAATCCAATCATCCAATATGTATGCTGCAAAATAAATATAAAATACCTCAATTTATTAAAATAGATTTCTTTCTTTCGTTTAGCTGCAGAATGTCTGCAAAAAAAGCCTTATTTTATTCCAGATTGGGAAGATTCTAATCTCAATCTTCAGTGGAGAAACAACAACTATTATAATTATATTTGTGTTTTCAAGTGTTAAGGTGCTTTTTAAGAACATACCTCACGCAAATTAAATTTACCTAAAATCTAACCTAACTATTTAGCATTGCGTTGTGATTTATAAGGACCGGATTAGCCTCGTGTTGAACTGGTGATGATCATGAGTAATAATTAAATAAAACATACATTTGTTATCCAATATATATATCTTAAATTTTATTAAGTTTCTTAAGTGGAAAACTAAACAAAATTATCAAACAAAGTATACAAGAATAATTAAGAATAAATGTCCTCTGGGATTTATTGAATAATTAAGTGAATTTGCTACACAATACAAGTAATACCATAATTAATTTACCTCTTAGCACAGCCAACGTACATTACGCGGATAGACTGGAATTTTCTTGAAACACACCTGGAAAAGTCAGGGAATTTCATTCTCCTGTTTGAGTGGCAACCCTGTGTCGTTATTTGTATATGCATCCTTTCTACTGAGTTGGCTTTTCATTGTACTGATCATAAAAAGCCCTCTTTAGTAATTTCATGGTTTTATGTTGAACAATGAATTTGTTGTTTCAATTTTGCACACTGGTGCATTTAGTAGAAGTTAGTGAATTATTACGGAATACATGTGCATTGGCTTAGAAAAAGTTGTAAGCTAATAAGTGTATAAAAATAATATAGAAGGAAAGGTAACAAGAAATATTTATAAGTACTTTCTGAATGTTACCTGCCAATAGTATAGTTTATTTTATGTAAAGTCAAATAACCACCACCTTTCCATATATATTCATTCATTTAGATGATATGTGGGTTATTTCACTCTTCAACACAGAAATTATCTAACTTGTTCACATGAAGTTGCTTTTTATAATATTTCTTAAACTACCAAAGAATAATAAAGATCCAGTACAGCATCATAAAAAATATAAATTTTAAAGTGGAGTGAACATGCAATTAAATATGAAGTTAAATTTTTGCCCACTGGAAATTTACCATGTAAATTATCTATTTTCAAAGAACTTTAGAAATATCAGCCTTTAGGTGAAATAGTTCTTTGTTGAGACAATGTCCTGTATATCATTGTACAAATTTTACCAAATATGTATGTACTGATTAAATGATTAAAATTAGAGGTGGGCAATTTTTGATTTTGACAGTAAGACTTGTACACATAAAGACTACTTTAAAATGTGCATTGACAAATACGCTGCCCATATGTTTTGTAATTAATATCTAAAAATATGTCTAGAAAAAGGTGAACAGAATTATATTGAAATAATAGATACCATTTATTTCAAATTATCAGTTTGGAGAAATATTCACCCTTATAGTTTGGTAATAGTAGAGACAAAAATTAAATTACATAGATAATAAATTGACATTTTAAATACATTTTTCATTCAAATTTATTTTTGAAATCGAGTTTAATATTAACGCAAATAATTTGGTCCAAGCCACCAAAATAAATTTTCAGTAAGGTCTAAAGGAAATTAATAGTTAATAAGATAGCTAATAATTTCACTACTTTCATAACAGAAAATTTGTATTCATGTACGTATAAATGTTCAAAACATAAAAGCAATCATAGCTGCCAGTATCTAAAAACCAATGCATATCGCTAATAAAATGTAGAAAGTTCTTTTACCAGTTATATAGTTTTGAGTGTCTGGTGTCTTATTGCCATGAGGTGTAGTATTTCACATTGACTGTTACCCTTCCACACAGAAAGAAATTATGTGTACACGTTAGCAAGTCTGCCGCTGATTTAGTTCACCTTGACAATGGCCATTAAAAAAAAAAAAAAAAGACCTTCAGATTTTACATTACGCCCAAGGGGGCGTTTTCTTAATGTTTTCTGCTTTACCTTTACTTATTAAATATCATGTTCTTCACACTTAAACCACAAAATTAAGTTCAACAGCAGTATCACAAAATAATTTTAAAATGAGCATATCTTTAGAATTTCCAATACAGTCTCGCACCCTGGGGATAAAAATGTTTCTTTCCCAGTACAGTGTTGCCATTGCTCTCTTTGAAATTGCTGAGTTTTTTAACCAAAAATTCGTTAAGTTTCACAAAATATGAAAGATAGTAAAACAAATTTCAAACTTGGGCTTCCAGATGCCCATGTTTGGGTGGAAACATAGTACTTTATTCAAAATTTGACGGCCCTAGGTACCGTTGTTTTATCACAATGTGAGAAACATACATACATTTATGTAGATTCTTCATTATTTAATTTTTTAAAAATATAATACAGAACTCTAATATTTGGTGGCACCAGTTTGAAAAGTGAACCGGCATTTAAAGTTTTCAGCGCAAAATAAAATGCCAAAACAAAATTAATAGCCCTTCTGGGCTAAAAGAAAAATATTAGATATTTCTGTTCAAAATGAAAAATTCAATCACTAATAGAAATTTAATTTCTAGTATTTAAATTCTTACTGGTATTATTTTCACATTTTATTCAACATTATGAATTAATTACATTTCGTAGTAGTAAATATTATTCTTTAAATCAATAATATTTACTGTAAATTCGGCTGCCTCAGCCACATGCACTATTCGGACCGAACTGTTTTCAAAATAAGGTGAATGGACATGAATAATGTGATAGGAATTTTTTTCCATTCTTATTTTTCCTTATTTATTTTCCTGGCATTCAGACTGCAGGCATAAGAAAACAGAAAATTACTTTTAAGTAATGTAAATTGATATGCTGATCATCATTTATAATTAGCTGTTTTATCATATCATATTTAATTTTGTGCATTTACATATTTATAAAAGTACAAGTTTTTTCCAAATTAGTTTTGCTATGTGTACATTATTTTATAATAAAACTTAGTAAGTAAATTTTATTGTAACATAATTATAACTATTATGCTTTGTTGTATGATTTTCATTATTGTTACAATAAATTCTAATAATTTATCATTATAATTAATTATAATTTTCATACAATAATAAATAATCATAATTTTTGATAAGTTAGCTAAGTCCTCTATTCTCAGCTTCAGCATCACAAAATGTAATCACATTATGTTGCAATTTCTTAGCACAAATGCGAAACGCCTTGTTTTCACCTACTGAATTAATTTCTACAAGCTATTTTCCTAACACTCACACGAAAGGCCACAATATTGGCAAATATGAAGTTAAAATCAACTACAATCTAGATAAATCCCACTTAAATGGGGTGGAAACCTATTGACCGGGGCCCACCAACAATCGAGTGGTAAAATCACTGAACACTCCGAGTTCGCTCTGAGGTTCAAGTCCCATGTATAACGTGTTTAGAGCCAGTTTCCCTTAGAAAGTACTCTACCAAACATCCCTATCCTTGGGCAGATTGCCCATGAGCGCTTTGCCATTTTGCCTTGACTTTAAGTGCAGGTCATGCTGTAATTAGTATTTTAATAAGCTGTTTTTCTTATTTTGAAAACATTTTTAAATAGAGAATAAATTCCTAAGATTTCTATGCATGTTTAGAGATCTTTCCTGGTATAGAAATTTGAATGTTAATGTACTTTTAAAGAAGTTTATTTTTCATTAAAATACCACTACTCCTTTTTTTTCTATATTTTTGTTCCCAGAACTGGTATTTTAATAGATTAATTTCAGAATGAGAGAATAGAAGTTAATTATCATACTATAGAGAAAAATTTTGTTTAAAAGTTAATAGAACTACACAGGTAATTAACACATACATATTGATATAATTACCACTAATTAGAACAGTCACATCTAGCTGAGTAATTTCAATTCAGGTCTGTTTTCAGTATATTGGTCAGTGGTATGTTTGAACAGCAATGTACTGCCGACTTTCTTTTTTCGTAGTAGAGAAATATTATATTTAATTACATAATTTAGCTTTCATTCTAATCAGAGTTATGCTCTCAATCATGTAAAAAGGGTATTTTTTGTAGTAAAGACTATATGTAAATTTTTATTTACATTCTTAATGTCTTCAGAATGTTTGTTTCAAGGATTACACTTCTTGAATTATTCGTGTATACACTATAATTTGAGAAATGTTTACCCATGCTTACGTTTTTTACACCCCAATCTTTGTGTTATTACGTAATTTAAAAGTTTAATTTTCAGTTGCTACTCTATATCAATAACATACCGTGGCAGTTTACTGATTTGAGTAATAGTTTTATAACTTAAAGATTTGGAAGAATAATGAAACTAGCAAAAGGTCTTTATTCATGTGATGGAAGGTGTTAATTCAAGTGTATGTATTTCATTTAATTGTCAAACAAAAAAATTGAACACAATGTTAACTTTATGCCAAAAATCACTGATTTGTATTTTTGCTTTTTTACATTACCTTCTGTGTTTTCAATGCCATATTAAACAAGAGATTATGCACATTCTAATTTTATGAATATTGGAATCTTAATATGATTTTGATTTTTTAAGTACATGGTAAAACATTTAAATACATATTTAAAATTGAAAGACAGCAACTTTACACTCTGATGATAATGTTATGGGCATTTATCGGCAGGATCAGTTTATAGTAGCAGACTATAGAAGTTAGATATATTTTTAAAAATTTCTAATTTGGTGTAATTTGTAAATATTGACAGCTGCTATTACTTCTAAATAATCTGCTCATTTATTTTAATAAAAGTTCCCGTATTAATGCTTATGCTACTGTAAAGGAAAATTAAAAATACTTAAGCATTGTACATTTATTTTCCAGCTAATGCAGCCTTGAGTTCCAGCAACATCACTGGAATGCCAACATCACCCATTTCCTCTCCAAGCATCACATCTCTACCAAACACCACAGCAGCCCAGTCTTAAAATTGGCTCCATGACCTAGCTACAATTTTTTTTTTTTTTTTTTCATTTCTGGGAGCGTATACACCTGGACTTCGCTCAAGCAAAGTTTTTGTTTATTAAAACTTTTTAAAAGAAAAATTTGGACTATCTTTGCCAAATTCCTTCAAAATCCAACAATCGTAATGAGAGATCGTCGACCGAAATAAACATCTTTGCAGCCGAAGCATCCGTCATCGGCGAAACGGGTACAAATAATTGCTGCCACGTGTTGACTGGACCTAAAATGATCTCTGTCTTGATGTTTGTTTAGTTTCTTTTCCTCTGCAGCTTTATCCTTTTTCAAACAGCAGTGCTGACAAAATAAATTCCATTGTCAAAGTTTACTGTGTGCTTCGTTAGTTTCAAGAATGAGGGCTAAGTTCATTTTTTTAGCATTCATCCATAGTTGAGTATCTAGAAACCTGACTGGAAATCATATCTTTGCAGACATTAGGAAATCTTATAACAATTGTATTTTTAACCAGATCAATTACTACTTCCATTTGTAATGCATTTTTGAGGAAAAATGTCTGATTTAAATTATTATTATTAACAATTAGTTTTATGTGAAACACATTGTATGTAGCAATAAAATAAAAAAAAAAAAGGGAAAAAAGATGCCATAACTTTTTGTGGTTTTTCTAAAATTGTAGGTTGTTAAATATTTGTGTTCTGTATGATAAAGATAAAAAATAAAGGAACATTATAAGGAAATTGCATACTCTGAGTTGTTTGTTAACAGGCTTGAAAGGCATAAAAAATTGCTAGTCTTCCCCCAATCTCTTTGTTAGAAGTTGACAAGAAATGCTCCAAAAATGTTATAAATTCATGAAAACAGTGTTGTTAATAGGCATTTTAGAACTGAAATATGCCTATGAATATAGTTTAAACTCTGCATGAAGATAGTCGTTGTTTTGGGTGGATAAAAATTCACTAAAGAACTCGTAAATCTGCAATTTTTGAGAAAAATCTGAATGAAAAATTTCACATTCAGCATGAATTGTAAATTTTTATAAAGAGAAATGAAAGATACTGACTTTATCTATTTTATGATGGATAAAAATTGACATACAGCCAGCACCTAAGCTTTTATATTTTGAAATGTATTCCTTTTATAAAGTGATTAAAAAAATCTAATGTGTACACCACATGACTTTCCTTGTACGGAATATTAAATTATATGCATTTTTTCTTGCATTTCATGTAAACTTATTGGGTTGAATTAAATCTACTTCATTGATAGCGCATAAACCACAATAGAATAAATGCACCCTTTAAAATTCACTATATTTGTTTATTATAGCGATACTCTGACACGAGGTTCACTTAAGTGCATCACATTTTGTTCATATGATAATTCGGGATTCACAAAATTTATATCATTTGAAGAATTATCTGATCGTTGCCACATGTTCTATTCAAATACTATAATAAAGCTAGAATGATGTATAAAAGAAATTAAGAAAAGAAAACAAAAAAGAAAGATTTTCACAGACGATTCAGTATTTTTCATTCAATTAATTCAGTTCTCACTATCGACAAGGCAAAAACACATAAAAACTCAAAATATCTATATTAAAAATTACGAAGTAAATTTCATTTCCTTGAATAAATTCCAGAATGGATTAAGCATGATTTAATTCGTAATAATAAAAGCTTACTGTGTGCTAAGGCATTATCTTTTTGCTGCAAAGTTTAGTTTCTCTAGAATGGCAACAAATCCGCTATTTTGCCAAGTTTCAAATATAAATAAACATAGCCACCATCACAAAAATAATTAGGCTTTGCCACTTTTTTAAACAACTTTTAAATTGTTGATAACTCTAAAAATATTGCATGCAGATTTACTAAATGCATAAAAACCTTAACCGGAAGATAACAACAACATAATTCAATCATTTTTAAAGCAAAAAATGCACACTTTACAAACATATAAAATTAAAGAAACTGAGATCACTGAGCCGGGTAACAGAGTGGATATATACAGTACGAAGTCCGTAATCCGGACATCCATTATCCGGAATGATCCATATCCTCTAATCTGGACCTCAAAGCCACAACCTCTTTTTTTTTTTTTTTTTTTTTTTTTTTGTGTGTGTGTGTGTGTGTGTGTATGCTTTACGCATGCACATTTAATGTATAATGGACAGTATAAGCTAGACTAAAATTATCTTTACTGTTTTTAAGGCATTTCAGTTAATATTGCAGATTGCGCTGTTCCTTAATCTTCTAATTGGATCCTGCTTATTATTTTTTGCAGACTGTTAGAGCAATTTTATAAAAATTAAGCTTGAACTTTGAAATTATGTCAAAAAAGAGTTTCCGATTCTGGAGCTGCCAAAGGATCTACAAAGCGAAAGCATGTTTCGATGTCTATTAAACAAAAATGTGGAATTCTTACAAAAAATGGATAAAGGCATATATCCGTCTCAAAATTATGCAAGGAGTATGACATTGCAAAGTCAACTGTATATGAGATAAGCAAAAATAACTTTTTGAAATTTTTATAGATTCCGACACCCTATTTGCAATGAATAACAGAAAAAGGGTTCATTATACTAAAAGTGATGATTGAATGGGTCAGACAGCGTAGCAGCGAGTGTGTGCAATTAATGGGTCCAACGCTAATGGCTCAAGCCAAAATATTTCATGAAAAAATTAACTAAAACACCGAGTGCACATATTCGACAGGTTGGTTAACCAAATTTAAAAAATCACCATGGTATAAGACAATCAAAAATTTCAGGACTAGTGAACAATTATCTCCAGGACAAATTTACAACGCTGATGAAACTGGTCTTTTCTGGCAACATGTACTGTGAAATACCTTGGCAACCTCTATAGAAAAGGCTCCAACTGGTATCAAAGATTCCAAAGCGAGACTAACAATTTTAGCTTGCGCAAATGCTGCAGGAACACACAAGTGTAAAGTTTTCGTAATCGGATAACATGCTTGACCTTGAGCATTTAAAGGAGTAACCATTTTCTCCATTAAACATCGCACAAATAAAAGAGCATAAATGACACAAGCATTGATGAATGTTTGGTTTGAAAATCCTTTTATAAAGGAAGCTCGGCAACATTTGAATTCGGTTGGTTTACCTGATGACCCAAAAATAGTCCTGATTGTTGACAACTCTTTGGCGCATATTTCACTTAAAGTTTTAGTGAAAGATAATGTATCCATATTATTCTTTCCTCCAAATTGTATGTTTATCATTCAGCCTATGGATATGGGAATAGTGCATGCGCTGAAATGCAAATATAAAGTAGCATTTTTAAAATCTATTTTAAATTTCTTGAACAATGGCAAGACATTCAAGACTTGAAATTTTTTAGCACAAAATCTGCTGTGTGGCTGCTAATTTATGGTCAACTACCATATTTCATGGTGAGGACGATGATGTCACGAATTTGAAGGATTTCGGACATCACAAACTAAAGATGAAAGTTATTGGATTTTGTAAAGAAATGTGGAAAAGCGGTAATGAATGAAGATAACAGAAGTTTTTCATTGCGATGACAATGTCCCAGCCATCAATCAATTACGGACAGTGAAATCTATAGTCTGGTTCTAGATTCAGAAAATAGCGTTTCTGATAGTGAAGAAAGTAACAGAGAACGTTATTGAAAACGAAAAAATTTCGATTGACAAGTTAGTCGGTATTCTCGACACAGCAATTACAGGACTTAAACAGTGGAACTTTGTAACTGAACAAGTTATGTTTGTTTATAGAATTAAAGAGAAAGTATTAGCACAAAAAACGAAGCAACTTAAACAACTTGCATTGAAAGAAATGTTTAATAAAGTAAACAAATAAATATTAAGCTTTTTTTTGTAAATTTTGATACCCTTTAGATCATAATTGCTCTTTATTTAATAAATTACGGTTTCATATTTTTAATTGTATAATTTCTGCATGCTATCTTACCAGATTTAAATTGATGATCTATAATCCGGAATCGCCAAAGTCTGAGTCCGGATTATGGACTTTATACTGTATATATATATTTATATACGTTTAGTATGGCCAATTGCAACCAAAATACGAGGTGCACATCTACATGTTATAGCAGTTCTATATACAAAATTTCAACTTTCTGAGGTTACTCATTTTTGAGTTGTGCAAGATACGTACATAGAAACACCATGAAAAAAAATCTCGTCTGAATCCATTTTAAATCCGTTTTAATTCATTTGGGGAAAATGGATTATAATTTTTGTCCTTACGTACAGATGTCATGCAAAAACATCGTTAAATTACATTCAATGGTGGTCAAAATGGATATTTTCTTTGTAATATGATACCAGATTTTTTTTGCGATTACAATAGTTCCTTTTTACTTCGTACAAGGAAGTAAAAACATTTACTGTTGTTGGTAATTAACAGCTTATTTAATTTTAATGAGTTTTGAAATAAAGCTTTTTTTAGCATTGGACATTATAAGTATTCATTCATACTTTTCTTTGAAGGCACAATTATTTAACCAAATTAAATCTTTCAGATTGAACCACATTGCAGAGCTACTTGCAGAGTGCTACACTGCTCCACTATTTACAGGACAATTTGCATATAATTTATTTGTATTCACATGTTTACTAAAAAATGAATAATAATTTACATTAATAAAATTAGACAAGAATCCAATCATGTTTCGAATTTTGCCTATTTTTATTCTCAAATTTGATGGAAAAACCTTTTATATAAGAGTCATAAAATTCATTTTCAAGTTATTGCGATTTAACATAAAAATTAGTAGTAGTTAAGTCATATTTTAAAAGGTATTTCCCTCTGATATTTAATAAAAGAAATAATACACTCCAACCTGTTTTTGTGCAAATATGCGGTCCCTAGTAACGGCATAAAAACAGGTTTGAATGTATCTACAAAAACAGTTTTTGTAACACAATTAAAATGTATTTTTTTGTGTTGAATAAGGACTGCATAATTAAGGTAAAATAACATGCCGAACAAGAATTAATTTAGAATTCAAACAAATAAAATCAGCATTATATTTGCAAATTTTCACAGGACTAGTTTCGATGGTTTTACCAAATCATCTTCCTCAGCTGCCAAAGCGCAAACGAACAAGGTAAAAATCTTATCTCGTCATTATCTTGCTTGTTTGCTCTTTGGCAGCTGAGGATGATGGTTCGGTAAAACCATTGAAATTAATCCTGTGAAAATTTGCAAATATAATGCTGATTTTTGTTGTTTATATTCTAAATTAATAAGGGACTGTATAATTTCACACACACGAAGAAAAAAAAAACCGCACAGAAACAGGTACTGGTGTAATGCATTTTTTCAGATAAAAAAATTTAAAATTTTTGCAATATACCTGGTGCACATTATCAAAATCTTCGTCGATGGCATGGGAAATATCCAACTATAATTTATTTCTAAACCATATCTTTATGTTGCCAAATTGATGATCATAACTCAAATTCTGTCATGTTGAGGTTAGGTTAATTGCTTAAGGTAGAACAACTCAAGAGTTATCTGTGAATGGAGAGGCATATGTTCATGGATGACTTCCAATGTAAAGTGTCTCATATTAAACAAAATATGTGTAAATCTCTAATAAACAGACTGGATCGCAGTTAAAGTAATAAACAGAGGAGCGTTCTTCCACACAACATTTATTCACGAACACCAAAGACGAACTGATACATATACATAATTGACATCACAGTTTCTTTTTACGGGTTT